TTATGTTGAGCTATGGAGGTGTTGAGCTTAGGGTGTTATTTTTGGGGCTAAATCACCAAGTGAAGCCTCCTAAACGTCCCATGAGTGTCAAGATTCGAGCTTTACGTGTTTATCAGGCTTGGTAAGGTCAGATATATGCATCTAAGGAACAGATATGGCCTCAGGAGGTTAATTGAGTTTGTGCATGGCATGAACTCACCGAGTCCAAGGGCAGACTCGGCGAGTAGGGTTAGGGTTTCCCGTAAATCACTCAGTGAGTAGATTTTCCGAGTTGGGGGAATAACTCAGTGAGTCAGAGGGGGATTAGAGGACTGTAGTTCAGGGCGGAACTCACCGAGTTGATCTTGAGACTCAGCGAGTTGAGTCGGGGTGACCCAGCAATTCATGCCAGGTGTGACTCGTCGAGAAAGGGGAGGGACTCGACATGCCAAGCAAGACTAGAGAGTTAGTGGACACGTGTAGACTCGCGAGAGTCGCCCAAGTGCACTCGACGAGTCGGGTCAAAGTTTGATCGTTGACTTTTGTTGACTTTTAGGGTTTGGTCAGCGATGTGGCCTTTGGGCCAAGAGAGGGGTAAAATGGTATTTTACCCTTAAAAAGGTGCCAAGAGAGGGTTGAGTCTAGTCTCGAGAGTTATATTCATGAGAGTATTTGCCTTATGTGTTAGGCGGTGGCGAGTTCGAGATTCAAGGGTGAGGATATCTGCTTTCTGCTTGTCAGGTGAGTCTTCTCACTATACTTTACCTAGAGTGGTAATAAAGTTATGTGACAGAGTTATTTTATGCTATCTATGTGAGGTGTGGCACCGCATTATTTCTATGTGATTTATGTTGTGTGTATATCAGAGATAGGACCAGAAGGTCCACAGAGCTAGGACCAGAGGGTCCGCAGAGTTATGGCCCAAGGGCCCACAGAGTTATAGCTTCGAGTGGCTAATATGTGCTATATGTGGTATTTTTAGTATTATGTGCCAGTGTATTTGTGTGATATTTATGTGTTGAGATTTATTGTGATATGTGATATGCATGATTCATAGTTATCAGAGTTAGGGCCAGAGGGCCCACAGAGAGCTGGGACCGGAGGGTCCCACTGAGACACACTGACCGGAGGGTCAACAGAGATTATAGCCTCGAGTGGCTAATATGTGTTAGAGTGGTATTTTGGGGAAACTCACTAAGCTTCGTGCTTATAGTGTTTTGTGTTATGTGTTTCAGGTTATCACAGGATCACGGGACGGCACCGGCTCGATTGTACACACCAGAGGAAGCGTTTGTTTTGAGGATTCTGGTTTATTAATTGATTGAACAAAAGAGTCATGTATTGCAATTTAAACAAAAAGGAGATTTTTGTGAAAAGTGTTAAAGAGATAAACGATTTTAAATGAAAATTTTGTTTTGAAAATTTCGGTGTTACAATAATATTTAATTCCACAAACACTTTTAATAGGTGAAGTCCAAACATCGGAATGCACAATTTCATATAGAAATTGCGAAATGGAATCAAATAAAGTAAAAGGTAATTTAACTTGTTTGCTCATTTGACATGCATGACATAAGGTATAACTTTTCCTAACATAACATTAAATTAAATGACTATCAGCTAAATGTTAGAAGACATGATGATCGGGTGACCATGACATTGGTGCCAAAAAGATGGAGACCGGAAGATGAAGGCTTGAGGAGTCGGAGTGGTGACAGGGTAGAAGTCCTCAGTGTTGCCCCATCGCATGAGAGTTTGTTTTGTAACATTTCGAAAATCATGACGAAACTTGGATAATATATATGTTTAATAATTTTTTATCAAGCTCAACAATATGATGAGTTGATTTCCTACTATGATGCGTAAAATGTTCAAAATAAAATAATCAATGAAATATTTTTATTTTCAGGTTTTTTTTTTGAACCGGCAAATGTAATCTACTCCTAAACTAATACCATCTATGTCAACGACAGGACTTGAACCCTCTACCTCAAAGAGGGAGGGCACCACCTGATACCGCTAGGCTAGAAATCATTTGGTATTTCCAGGCTACTTGAATCAGGTTTTAATATTTTCGATTTAGATAACTGATCCAATAAAAACCGTTGGTTTTTTCAGTTCGATTACAATGTTTTCGATAGAGATGATTTGCTTAAAAGACCAAAAACAAATTCATTTTAGGAATTATGTTTATGTTAAGACTTTTAAGATGATATTAGATTAGTTTAGTTAGTTGCAAATTATCTATTATTTAATGTCTATTGCTTAAGAAAAACTAAAATATGATCAACATTGCATCTTTTTTTTTAATTTTTTGCATTTGGTTTTTTCATAATATTGAATTTATGTTGTGCATTAAATTTGTAGTTTTTTTGGCATACAGTTGTCAAGTAGATTTAATAGTTTGCTATGATTATTATTAGCTTCTCGTTTTAGTTTCGGGCATATTTATAATATTTAATAGATATCATAATAATGTGATTAAGAAAAGGTAATAAAAAGAAAGTTGGTATGATGAGTGTATATGTTAAACATTAAAATCATAGATGAAGATTACAATTTGTCGGATTTAACTATCTTATATATTTAGTATAAATATATAACATACCAACTACGAATCACATTGCCGTTTAACTTTGTTTATTATACATGAAAATAAAGGGATGCCCGCATTTTGCGCAAAATACAATATATTTGAAATCTTTATAAATATATGTTTCTTAAATATATCAATGACGTCGTTATTAACTATTATATAATAAATCTTATAATAAGTACCTATCAATATTGTTTGTTTTGAATTATATGACAATGTAGTCATTGTTATGATTAATTAATTTTAAAAAATTTATTTGTTTATAATTTTAATTTCTATCATTTTGATTATTTAAAACACCAAACAATGTTTTTGTTTTTAAAGGTAACAATATAATTTTTATATATAATGTCACTTTTAACTATTATTGTTGTAGGTTATTTAAAATAACGTATTTGGAAAATCTTAATTATTTTAATTTGGTTTCAAAAATTTAACTTTTCTAAAGTTTATTTGATGAATATCGTTAGTTTCTTCGATTTTAATTATTTAAAACAATAAACATTGTTTTTGTTTAAAAGATATTATCATTTTTATATAATATTATTTTTAACTATTCTTATTGTAAGTTATTTTTAAGCTACTTATTTAAAAATTCTTAATGATTATAAAAAAAATTCATGATTTTTTTTGTTAATTTATGATTACAATTTAGGTTTAACACCATAATATATAAATTTTAACTATACATAAAATAGTCTTTCAATTTTTTTGAAGTTTAACTGAAATTTTGATTTAAATTAACTTTTAATATTATACTGAAATTAATAATTTAACTATTTTGCACAAAATCATTAATTATACAAAAGTTATGACTTTAAAATAACAATTGCTCACACATGACAATATATCTAAACTAATAAGTTAACTATAATATGTAGAAAGTTAAAGTCATAATTTTATAAATAGAAGTAAAATATGATATTTTAATATTGTATTTTAGTTAATTTATGATTAGAACTTAGTTTTTCATTGATTTAACATTATTAATCAAATTATAATAACTATTAGAAAGAAATTGAAAAGTCATGAAGGTTTCAAATACATGTGATGCAAGTAAAATTATAGTAATCATATGTCATTTATATTAAATAAAAAAATTATTATTATTACATTTAGATATTTAGTTAATGTAACATTATAATTAATTTGAACAATAGTTAATATAACACTTACTAAAATGGAATCATTTAATGGTATATACTCATGTTTACGTGTGTGTATAAAATTAGTTATAATTCTTATCTATTTTAATTAACTAATGTTATGATTTATTATCTTTAAAAAAATGAATGCATTTTAATTTCATCATGATGATTATTTAAATTATCAATCATTGTTTGTGATGTAACATAACTTAATTTATAACTTTATGTTATTTTAACTATTATTATTATAAATTAATTTAAAAATACCTTAACTGAATTATAGTTATTATAAAAAATAGTTTTTGGAGATCTTTTAGTTAATTTTACTTTTAGATTTATGTTATTTTACGTTTATTATATTTAATGTTTTCCTTTAAACTTTTGTAAAAAATATACATTGAGTTTTTTTAAAACTTTATTTGATATTTTTAAGTTTGTTTGATAGTATATTAATTTAGGTTATGCATTTAAAATTATATTGAAGTTATTGATAATTCAAGAATTCTCTTATCTATGATAATATTTATAATTAATAACATATTTAAGTTAAAAAGTATATTATATGGAAATATGAAAAGTTGGGAGTTTCAAATTGATGTGGTGAAAGAAAAAATATTTCCTTTAGAAGTAGAGTATGATAGTATGATAAAGTATGCATATGTTTTTCTTTACTATACATAAAATAGAGTATGCATATGCTTTTCGATTGATAAAATTTAAAATATTAAAATGTTTTTAAAAAAGTTTAACAAAATAAAAAGTTACTAAAAGTTTTTATTAAATAAAAAGTTAGTAAAAATTGGTAAAAATAAATAAATAAATAAAAACTTGAAGGTTATTAAGAAATATTATAAAAACCCTTAAGTTTTAAAGTTTTGGTCGGTTTTACCTAAAGTCGTGTTTTATGCATCAAATTTGTAACTTTTTTTCCTAACTTGGTGTTTGTTACGTCATCTTTTCTCTTGTTTTTTCCCTCACCAAACGCCAACATGTATGTGGGAAGCTTTTTTCACTCTTTTTTTTAAATAAAAATAATTGAATTTGATGATTATATATATATATATATATATATATATATATATATATATATATATATATATATATATATATATATAAAACATAAAATGACTTAAAAATAAAAACTACCTTATTAATTAAAAATTACATTAACATAAACATGATTAAAAATAAAAATAAAAAACTAGAAAATAACAAATATTAGAAAACACAACTTAAACAACATAAATAATATCTGAATTTTAAAAAACCAAAATACGTCAGTTAGAATCGTCGTCCTCGTAATTGACATCATCGTCATCGTAATTCTCATCAACATCATTTTCGTCCTCGTCATCCGAATTCTCGATCACGACGAACATATCTGAATCCTTATACGATTCGTCAAACAAATCACCGTGCCAATACTCTGTTGGCGGCTGAATGTGAGCCATATAAACGTGCTCCTTCAAATTAGCACGGAGGGCGTGAGGAATGTCATAATCGTATACTTCACTTCTATTTGCCCTATAATCTTTCGTACCAACGGCTATTCCTTCGACATTTGGCAAAACTTCTTTTTCATTGTATCGACATATCGCTCTTCCTTCGTCTTCAAGAATCATATTATGTAATATGATGCACACATACATTACGTGTTGCAAGCTTTTCACTTCATAAGGTTGTTCCTCGACTGCTAGTACTTGTCAACGCCTCTTGAGTACACCAAATGTTCGCTCCACTTCCTTCCTAGCTGACTTTTGTGCTTTTTTAAACTTGTAACATCCCGAGTTCAGAAGTGCAAGTTCAGGGTTCAAAGTGTAAATGTGAAAGCGCAACTCGATGAGTCCATGGGTGGACTCGGCGAGTAGGGTCGCGACTTTGGTCGCGTGTTAAGTGGCCAACTCGGCGAGTAGGCGCTGAGTGGAAAAAACCCTAATTTTGGAGGATGAGCCCTATATAAGGGATATTATACCCTCTCCCCAGCCTCTTTACCCTCTCTTGAAGTCCATAAAACCCTAAGTCGCGATTGTGAGGGATTTGAGTGCATTTGGACCTTGGAAAAGAGATTTTGGAGGAGATATTGGAGAGTTAGGAGGCTTAGAGCAAGGGGCTT